GGTACCACAAGGAAGTCCTCCGAAGACTCAGTAGCAGGGAGAAAGGGTGAGAATTTTACCACAGCTGGGTAGTAGAACCAGGGTTCCTGAGGTCCCACCAAGTCATTCCTGCCTAGAATGAAGAGGTGCTTTTCCTGCAGATCTAAGAGGAGGTTCTAAGAGGGCCTCCACCACACTGTGTATAGTAACATGCATTCCAGTGACAAGGAGAAGAAAGGGTTCATTGTTCTCTTGCCAAACCATAATCCTCATGACAGGTGGCATTCCACCCAATTATACTGAACTCTATCCACCCCCTCTTCACTCACCACTTCCCTAAATTCCTTGCATTTGTAGCAAGCTTTGCAATTTTAGAAATACTTTCTTATCTATTAATTGATTTGATTCAAACCAGTTTCAGGGTTTCTTCCTAATAAAAGAGAGGTACCTAAAAATGCTGGGCTATAAGAGAAGTTTAGGGGGTGGGGAGCAGAGTAATGTATGGCCTTCGTGGGATGGTGAGGGCTGATATTCTCTAAGGAGGCCTTGCCTGTAGCAAAGCACACGCCATAGTGGGGTGAGGGTCTCCTATGTGTCACAGAGTAGAACTGTGCTCCACAGAGTTTGCTCAGCTGTAATCTTTAAGTAGATCGCCAGGCCTTTCTTCTGTGGCACTGCTGGGTGGGTTTAATTTGCCAACCTTTAGGTTAGCAGCCTAGAGCTACTAGAACTTTACTATCTACACTGGAAGAACCACTCAGTGAGAGACAAGTGGTCCCTCCTGACTAACCTTTCTTCCTATCATGGTGCTGTCAGCAAGCCAGGCTGTTTGGGGATGCATGAATATCCCTGGAATAGATGCAGCTGGGGACACCTTATTTTCCCTTACTTGTTAGATTCCTAAGAAGTGAACTCAGTCATGAAAGCAGTTCATACTCTCCTCTTAAAGTTTCAAAACACAAATATAAAATAATCACATAATTGACAGATAAGCATCAGCAAACACATCGCGCTTCTTGACCTCTGATTCAGTGCATCGTATACATTATTCTCCATTATGAAAGACTGAACTACTTATGCTTGCCTCAAAATGCCTCAATATCACCTGAATAGTTCATGGGATTTCTCTACCCGCTTCTCACCCTCCTCACCAAACATTTGCCTGGTTAAGCAAATGACCCACTGTAACTGTACTGCCTTGTGGTTATCCTTCATCTAATCTTCCATCACATCTTCCTCATCTCATCTTGCTGCAATTCACTACTCTTGTGCAGCAGCACCCACAGGATGTCCCTTAAATCCACCTTCTTACTCATCACCTAGTGGCTCCACTGGAGAAAGATCTGGTGATTTGCTTACTTAAAGATTGTTAGATGCTGTTGGGTCAGTTCCAACTCAAAGTGACCCTACGTACAACAGAATGAAATGCTGCCTGGTCCCCTGCCATCCTCACAATCGTTATTATCCTTGAGCTCATTGTTGCAGCCACTGTACCAATCCATCTCGATGAGGGTCTTCCTCTTTTTCACTGACTCTCTACTTTACCAAGCATGATGTCCTTCTGCAGGCACTGGTCCCTCCTGATAACATGTCCAAAGTATGTGGGATAAAGTTTCACCATCCTTGCTTCTAAGTAGCATTCTGGCTGTACTTCTTCCAAGACAGATTTGTTCGTTCTTCTGGCAGTCCAAGGTATATTCAATATTCTTCGCCAATACCATAATTCAAAGGCATCAATTCTTCTTCAGTCTTCCTTATTCATTGTCCAGCTTTCGCATGCATATGAGGTGACTGAAAATACCATGGCTTGGGTCAGGCACACCTTAGTCCTCAAGGTGACATCTCTGCTCTTCAACACTTTAAATAGGTCTTTTGCAGCAGATTTGCCTAATGCAATCTGTCATTTGATTTTCTGATGGCTGCTTCCATGGGCGTTGATTATGGATCCAAGTAAAATGAAATCCTTGATAACATCAATCTTTTCTCCATTTATCATGATGTTGCTTATTGGTCTATCTAGTTGTGTGGATTTTTGTTTTCTTCCTGTTGAGTCTCCATACTGAAGACTTAGACTTTGATCTTCATCAGTTAAGTGCTTCAAATCCTCTTCACTTTCTCAAGCAAGGCTGTGTTATCTGTATATTGCAGGGTGTTAATGAGTCTTCCTCCAATCCTGATGCTCATTCTTCATTACATAGTCCAGCTTCTCAGATTATTTGCTCAGCATACAGACTGAATAAGTATGGTGAAAGGATAAAACCCTGACGCACACCTCTTCTGACTTTAAACCACGCAGTATCCCCTTGTTCTATTTGAATGGCTGCCTCCTGGTCTATGTACAGGTTCCTCATGAGCACAATTAAGTGATCTGGAATTCCTGTTCTTCGCAATATTATCCATGCCTTGTTATGATCCACACAGTCGAATGCCTTTGCATAGTTAATAAAACACAGGTAAACATCTGTCTGGTATTCTCTGCTTTCAGCCAAGATCCACCTGACATCAGCAATGATATCCCTCATTCCACATCCTCATCTAAATCTGGCTTGAATTTCTGGCAGTTCCCTGTCAATGTACTGCTGCAATCACTTTTGAATGATCTTCAGCAAAATTTTACTTGTATGTGATATTAATGACATTGTTTGATAATTTCCACATTCTGTTGGATCACCTTTCTTTGGAATGGACACAAATATGGATCTCTTCCAGTCGGCTAGCCAGGAAGCTATCATCCAAATTTCTTGACATAGATGACTGAGTACCTCCAGTACTGCATCTGTTTGCTGAAACATCTCAGTTGGTATTCCATCAATTCCTGGAGCCTATACCATAAAGATTACAGCCTAGCAAAACCTGTGGGGCAGTTCCATTCTGTCACATGGGGTCACTGTGAGTCAAAATCGACTTGATGGCACCTAACCTAACAACACTCATAACTGAGTGCTACTTTTCCAGGCTCTACCTTCTTGTCCCTCCCACTTATCTTCCCATGGGTACCCATAGCCTGCCCTGACAATTTACATACTTGTAATTATTTTTCTCTCTCCAAGCCAACGTTTTGAAGAATTCCTTACTTAAAAATGTCTTCTAAATGTACTTTCTACCATCTTCTATTGTCATTAAACCCGTTGCTATCGAGTCCATTCTGACTCATGGCAACCCCATGTGTTACAGGGTAGATCTGTGCTCCATAGGGTTTTCTTGGCTGTAAGATTGACAGAAGTAGACTGCCAGGCCTTTTCTTCCATGGTTCCACTGGGTGGGTTAGAGTCACCAACTTCAGGTTAGTAGGCGAGAGCAAGCCATCTGAGCCACCCAGGGACCTCTATTGTCCTCACCTCCTCCTAGTTCCTCTTTTTTCCACAACGTACCCTATCCTTACAGCAACTAATCTTCTCAAACGGTGGTAGGGATTAAAGATGAGGAAATGGAGGCAAAGAGAGATGAGGTGATTTGTACAAGTTCAGACTATAAATTAACACTGAAACTACCATTAAGCCCTGTTCTGGTTAGCGTTCTGGATCACCCAAATTGTAAAATTTGAGTCTGTTCCAGTTTCACTTCATTGGCCATGACCTGAACCATTTTGATTTTTCCTTGTTCTGAGCCTCTCTCAAGGTATCAACATAGTAAAACCTTTAAGTGACTTTAGGTTTGCCACTGTACTCTAGTCCAGCAGTGACTCGCCCTGAGTTCACTCTTTCACAGCTACTGCTTCTACAATTACAATTTTTAAAATCACAGTTAACCCTGTTCTCATGGATTGAATGTGTCCTCCCAAAACATGGTCAAATTAGCTAGGCCATGATTCCCATATTATGTAGTTGTCCTCCATTATGCACCTGATAGAACTGTCCCCCATTTTGTGGTATTGTATAATTATGTGTTGTGAATGCTAAACCTCTATATGTTAATGAGGTAGGATTAGTGTGGGGTGTATCTTGAGTCATGCTCTTACTAATGAACGTGACTCAAGTCACAGCTTTACTCAAGTCACACCCTTGCTTGTGTCACACCTTTTTATCTTACAAGAGATAAAAGGAGAGAGAACTGAGCAAAAAGGAGTGGGACTTCACTACCACCAAGAAAGAAGAGCTAGGAGCAGAGCGTGTCCTTTGGACCTAGGTCCCTATGCTAAGAACTGCCTAGACCCAGGGGAAGGTTGATATCAAGACACATGGAGACACATGGGCCCACAGATGTTGAAAGGGGACAAGGACCTTCCCCCAGAGCCAACAGAGAGAGAAACGCTTTCCCTAGCACTAGTACTCTGAATTAGGACTTCTAGCCTCCTAAACTGTGAGAAAATAAATTTGTTTGTTAAAGCCATCCACTTGTGGTATTTCTGTTAAAGCACTACTAGATTATTAAGACACCTGTTAACAATCAACACTCACAACTGAATCATATAATCCTATTAGAATTCTCCCCCACCCTGTCTTCCCCATACTTATGAGGAAAAGAGTAATCTATTCAGTGGGGATCCTTCCTTGTCCCCCTCATTTTGAATGTAAGCACACTCACAAAACTGTGTAAGCCAGCTACTTCATGTGTTTATCTCCCCTTGTTTTAGACAGCCAATGTTTAATTTGGTCCCTGTCAAACCAGTACTGTGAGGAGACAAGCATGTTCCTTGGTCTGCAGACCATCTGTTCCCGTTAAAACACTGAGCGTCTACACCCATAAGCAAAATCCAGTCCAGGGTAAGCCATCAAATTGCAGCAATCTACTCCAGGTCACACTATCAAACATCTCTCTTTCTCTTTCCCCTTTAGCCAGGGCCAGGTCATCTCATCCCCAGCCATCCAAGCTAGATCAATGGGTACCAGCCGTAGGCTCAGGAGTCCACACACACCTCCCTGCTCTTCAGACCAGCTGGCCCCTTCTACTTCTCATGCCTGGCTACACAGGCTAGGTCAATAAGTTTCGACAGAACATGTCCAAACTCAGCCCATTTCTTCATTGCTGCACCTCCCCCAGTTCCATTCATCCCATGACTCCAGGCAGTCACTTCTACTCACCAGCTCCCTTTAACTTCCAGTCCCGAAAGGGGGTTCTTTCCTGATGGGCACGGACTGTTTTGCCTGGAGGCACCCAACATTAAACCATCTGCTGGCAGTTCAAAAAGCAAAAACCTTTTTTTTTTCTGCACGTCCTTCCTTCATATGCAAATTACTTGCTCTCCCAGCAGTTCTGAGTGTGTCTGCACGTCTTTTCAAATGCAAATTTCCTGACTGGAAAGATTCTAGGTGGGACTCAGTTTTTTTACCTAAGGCCCCAATACTCTATACACAGGGCTACAGGATTGAAACCAACAACCTGTGTTTCTTTCAGGCAAATCCCAGTTCTCTTTTTAGCATATCCAATCAAGTATTGGCTGAAGGTGGAGTTACAAGCTCTCTGTTATCTATAATACCCAATATTCATTGCCATTATACATTTTAAGGGTCTGTTTTACAACACTAGGTAGGAGAAACATTCAATATCCATTAAAAAAAACACCAAACCAAACCCACTGGCTTGGAGTCGATTTTGACTCATAGTAACCCTACAGGACAGAGTAGAACTGTCCCATAGGGTTTCCAAGGAATGACTGGTGGATTCGAACTGCAGACCTTTTGGTTAGCAGCTGTAGCTCTTAACCACTGTGCCACCAGGCCCCCTCAATATCCATAGTACATCAAATAAACTCATAACCCTTTTAAAAACATTCCAGTTTCATCTTCTCCACACCTTGACTATCTTCTCATTCATATGCATATGGTCTTGGGCATCTGGCTGGGTGGAACCAGAAGACTCTGGTCCCCTATCAGCCATCTTGTTTAACTGGCCTGGCTTTTGCCCCAAGCCACTCCAGATGTGGCTTCTCTCCCCTCAGCTACAGTGTAACATCTCTTACTTTCCTTTTAGCCATTATAGATAACAATAACCAAAGTAACCATCCAAGAATCAAAAGTTACACTTCCCGCATGCCTTCGTTCTTCCTCTTACAAAGCCTCATGCTTCCATAAGTCTTAAGCCATTGCAATGAATACCGCTGCTGACGCCAACTGTAAAAATGGCATGGTGGTAGCATCAGACTTGTTCATCTAACTTCACAAGGGGAAAGAGAGAGAATCATTATCAGCATCAACAGTCCAAGGCTGACTCCTATAAGGCAGAGGTTAGACATAGCTCCTTTCTCCAACCTTTTTACCAATTCTGACACCAGCCATCCCTCCCACAGCACTGTCTTGGTGGTGAGGTTCCCCCATGCACCTAAGATGGCTCATTTAAAGCCTAGAGGGATGGCAAAACTGTCCAATCCCCTCATTAGGGTTACATACACCTTATTTGCATGTTCCCACCCCCACAAGGGTGCCATGCACCTTATTTGCATTATTAGCAAGCCATCCAATCCACTTGGTGGGCCACCAGCACCTCATTTGCATAGTTCCACTCAGTCGTTTGGTGGGAGTTACAAGGCCATGGCAAGGAAGGTCTATAAAAGCAATCCATGGCACCGCAAAGAAGTATAATCTTCTAATTCTGAATTCAGACCTGGATGTTGCCAGTCAAGATTTCTGGTAAAAGATGGAAACAAACTTACAAACAAACAAAAGTCAGTATCTTTGCCTCTAAGGCAGGGGGCTTTTCAAAGTGTGGTCTGATCCTATTAATGGGTCATGACCAAAAGAGGATAGAAAATTCAGGGTGTTTAAGCACAGGGAAAGGGTTTTATTTCAGATACACACACACACACAGAAACACACACACACATAGAGCACTCTACTGAGCTGTGGTCAAAACAGTTTGAAAGCCACTGTTCTAAGGCATACCTACTGACTGCTCTCATTCTGAAAATAAGAGGAAAAGCATTACATATTCAGTTTCCATGTAATACTACATCTAAAAAATCCATTGCTGTGACAGAGAAAAAGATCACAGTTTAAAAGGCTGGACTGTTGAAAGCTTTTCCTCCCACTTTAGCATTTTGCTTCCAATTGACCACTAGTAAGTCTAGAAAACTGGTGCATTTCCAAGACAAAAGACAAAAGATATTAAAATAATGATTGGGGGAGGGCAGGTGCAGAGGGAAAAACATTTTACTAACTCTAGGTATGATACTAGATTACTTATCAGGCACATACATAGGCTTTCCTCTTTAATCTTCACAATCCTGTAAGTATCATGATGTGGTAACTGCTATGACTTTATAGTTTGTATTTTAAGTGATGACCAAATGAAGGTCATTTTGTTCTAGGCACAGGACTGGTAAGTTTGGTCATTATCACCATTGACCAGCAGTGCTTGGTTTGGTCTGTATGGGTTTCTACAGTCAACCTTATGGATAACCAGAGGTGGACTCTACAACATCTAGTTTCTAATTGTTTTCATAAATAGGTTACATTTAAAACAGCAGCTTAATTGCCACAGAACTAGAACTCAAAAAGCAAGCAATTCCATTAACTAGTTGTAACATCTTGTAAAAGCCAACTTATACGGACCTCTGATTGTACATGTATAAAACAGGTACATAATAGCATCTTACCTCCCTGATGGCAAAGCTTTGCAAAGTTTCAAACAGCTAAGGTTTTATGATTGATGTCTTTAAGATGACACATTCTAAGTAGTGAATTTCATCACCAGAAACTTCACCAGGGGTAGGATCAAAATAAGTGGCCCAGAAATAAACTCAAGGGCACAAACTTTCCCTGTGGCACCTTGGCTGGCCACTCCTTTTCTCCCAGCCCTGCAGGTATAGTTGACCAGGCTCCCTAATCTTACAGGTTAGCCTACACGGGTTCTTGTCTCTATCCTGCCACCTAGTGACAGCAGGATTCACATAATTGTGGATCAAATGTTTGCTTCCTTGTGTTCAAGAGACATAAAAGTGTGGCATTCCTTGAGCAAACAAAGTTCCTTCCTCAGCCCCTGGGCAGCAACCAAGAGACTGGGACTCCCTCCTTTGATTCCATCCTGTAGATACTCCTACCTCCCAAAGCTGTCTTTATTAAGAGAGACTTCATTTCCAGAGGAATCGTCAGTTGAGAAGCCACTATATTTGCAAACATTTTTTAAAATTGTAAAATATAACATGAGTGGGCTTTAAAGAGATTTAAAGTTCCTGGGTAGCATAAATGAGTAATGTGCTCAGCTGCTAACAAAAAGGTTGTCAGTTTGAGTCCACCCAGAGGCACCTCAGAAGAAAGACCTGGCAATCTACTTTGGAAAAATCAGCCACTGAAAACTCTATGGAGTACAGTTCTACTATGACACACATGGGGTCACCACGAGTTAGCATCAACCCATTGGCAATTGTTCTTGTTTTTTTTTAAAGACCCAAACAAGTGAAAAATCATCTCTCCTTAGACCTTATCAGGTCCCTCGGTGGCATAAATGGTTTACACTCAGCTGCTAACAGACAGGTTGGTAGTTTGAACCCACCCAGTGGTGCCAAAGGCCTGGTGATCTGCTTGCATAAAGACTGCAACCAAGAAAACCCTATGGAACTCAGTTCTACTCTAACACATCGGGTTGCCATGAATCAGAAACAACTCGATCGCCAACAGGTTTTGTTTGTTTGCTTTGTTTTTCAGACCTTATCAATCTATTAGACTCAAAGCCATTGTGCTGCACAACTCTAGGGGGCAAGGGAACCCTCACATCCTAGGATATGTGAATGGCGCTCTACGGAGGTGTGCAACGCCAGAAAGCTCAGTCACACTCATGGGCCCTGATTAAACTCATCACTGTTTAATGTATCTCTGAGTTCAAAACTTCCAAAGCCAAAACTTCCCCCTCACTATTTTCTTGGGGTCAGTAGCTTCCTGGGCTTATGCAAAGCTAAGCTCCAGAAATGCTTATTTTTTTAAAATCCATTTAAGCAAAACTTTAACAACCGTTGTCATTAAGAAAGTGTCAGATTGTCTCTTTAGCTCTCTATAGCTCTTGTACTGGCTCCTGCCTACATTCAAAATAGAAAAGCCTTCTGTGAGAGGTCCCCACATAGTTAGCCAAAAAGGACAAAAAAGCAGAGTTACATAACACATTTCATTTCCGCAAACTGCATCTTCTCCCACGGAGGGGACACTGATGGTAATTTCCTCTGTGTCTTTTTTTTAAAAACAAATATTTCATTGGCAGGCAGGATGGTTCAGAGATGGAGGTAAGGAGAGAGAAAGGAACCTACATTCACTACCCACCTACTATGTGACAGATGCTGAGCTGGGCAACTATATATAGCTCATTTCTTTAAAAAAAAAAAAACAAATTAGAGCAATGGTTCCGGAGTTGAAAATCATGGTATGTGTCATGGATTGAACTGTGGCCCCCAAAAATATCTGTCAGCTTGGCTGGGTCATGATTCCCAGTATTGTATAATTATGTATCATTTTGTAATCTGATGTGATTTTCTTAATGTGTTGTAAATTCAATCACTATGATCTAATAAGATGGATCAGTGACAGTTATAGTGATGAGGTATACAAGATTGGATAGTGTCTTAAGCCAATCTCTTTTGAGATATAAAAGAGAGAAGCGAGCAGAGACACATGGGAACCTCATACCACCAAGAAAGCAGTGCCGGGAGCAGAGCGCGTCATTTGGACCTGAGGTTCCTGGCCAGAGAAGCTCCCAAACCAAGGGAAGATTGATGACGTGCACCTTCCTTCTGAGCCGACGAAGGAAGTGTTCCCCTGGAGCTGATGCCCTGAATTTGAACTTGTAGCCTACTGGACTGTGAGAGAATAAACTTCTCTTTGTTAAAGCCATCTACTTGTGGTATTTCTGTTATAGCAGCACTAGATGATTAAGACTGTATGGAGTCTCTCACTTTTTCAGTTAATAGTGGTACTCAAAGAAGCCCCGGTGGCGCAAAAGGTTAAGCACTTGGCTGCTAACCAAAAAGTTGGCAGTTCAAACCCACCCATCAGTTCCACAAGAGAAAGACCTGGGAAAATCTGCTTCCGTAAAGACTACAGCCAAGAAAACCCTATAGGGCAGTTCTACTCTGTCACATGGGGTCACTAAGTCAGAATCAACTCAGCAGCACCTAATAACAACAGTGGTATTGACCTTGGAGAGCCTGTTACTTAAACTCCCGAGCTCTAGTTTTCTCTTAGGTAAAATGGAGATATTTTCTGTTTAAAAAAACAAAAAAACCATTGCCTTTGAGCTGATTCCAACTTATAGCAACCCTATAGGACAGAGTAGAACGGTTCCATAGGTTTTCCAAGGAGCGGCTGGTGGATGTGAACTGCCAACCTTTTCGTTAGCAGCTGTAACTCTTAACCACTGAGCCACCAAGGCTCCAATAATGCTTACTAAATTGCCATGCATGATGCCTGGCAAGCTGTGAGTGTTGGCTGCATGCATTTCCTCCCTTATGTCACCTTACTTCTACTTTCTTGCAACAACTGTTTTCTGCTTGTTTTTGTTTTGATTTGTTTTGTTTTGCTAAGTATGGTCCTAAGTATTTTCACTTATAAACTGCCTCCAGACTTTTGTCTATTTAA